GCATAATCATCATTATTTAAAAACCTTAAACACGAATGGGAAAATTAGTGTTGTCATTGCTTAAGGGCTGGCAGAGTTACAAATTAATCTTCTTTTGTCTGAGTTTATTGTGTGTCTCGTGAAGCTTCAGTATATCCCTCTTGAAAAGGTTTTAAATCACACAAAAATTATTTCTGAAGTCTATGTATGTGACAAGATTTTAATCTAACTTTTTAGACTTCGTGTGGAGTACCTACCTCTCCAGTAATCCTTGAGGTATTTATTACAACTTTCTATCCAGATGAGTAGGCCATGTGGAAATAAATATGCATGTTTATTTAAATATATTATACATAATTTTCTTTTCATTCCTGTTATTTTGTAAGCTTGGAGACTAATAAAATGAAACTCAGCTAAAAAAAATCTGTGCAAGATATTCACTGTGAAAAACTTTAATTTTCCCCAGTGAGTGACACATTTGTCTTCTGTCTGCAAATCTGGAAAATTTATTTAAATGTATGCTTCCTCTTTCCTCTACATAGAATTAATGTAGATAAGAATTAGGCACTGAAAGAAAGAATAAAATCAAATTTGATAGAAGAATCACAGCTGAGGGCTTGGCAAAAAACTGTATTTTTCTTACAATTACAAGATGAAAAGAGTTATCAGGGTATCTTTTATGTCTGTTTGATCTGAACTTACTATTGTAAGCTATGGTGTGTAAACCTTTGAAACATCCTTTGGTTGTCTGAAGAACTCTGTGGGAATTAGGAGGACTTAATTCTGGTTAGTAAATTTTGCATTAGGATGTAGGATTTCTGTATTCTCACACCTCAGGATGCATGCTGTTTGCCACAGAGATCAATTAACATCTCTTTGCCCCTTTTCCCTTTTTGAAATGGGGTTCAAATGACAAACTAGTTTCCCTGAATGTAGGGTCACGTGTATAGTAGGAATAAGTTGTTCAGTGCATGTACACAGCAGACCAGTATGTTCCTGCTGAGTCTTGCTTGAGGCTTTAAACTCGCTGCAGTTATGAAGAGTTACTTTGAAAATTGACTGTGGAAATTAATTCTATGTGTATTCCCTGTCACGAAAGCCGGGGGCTGGAGTGAAGAGGGGCCTGTTGTAATCTCATTTTCTCTTGGGAATCCCGGCTCAGACTCAGTTCTGTTGTCACTGTTTCCTAAGAATCCCTTTATTTCAGCACCTTGCCTCAACTGAGAGTCTGTTTCTGCTACCTGGTTCCTCCTGGTGTGTCTGGAGGCTGTTGTCAGTGTGTTTCTTGTAATATCTGTGTGTTCCTAGGTGGTTTTGTTAACCATTGTAGTCAGCCATGCCTATCTCATGGTGTCCTCACGAAGTCCTTGCATGTTATGATGAGAGTTTAAAGTTTTCCCCAGATGGGTCTTTGAATATAGAAACAGGCTTGTTTTCAGAGAGAGAGAGGGAGGTGAATGGTAGAGCTCTCGAAGTCGGTATGTTCTTATTATTTTCCTGCAAAAGATGGGACAAGAGAGGGAAGAGAGACCAAATTAGTTTTCCACTGAAGGAAAAGCACGCATTTCCTTTTTATTGTACACCAAAGTACCCAACAATAAGGGGCACTTCTGACAACCTGGTTTATGCAGTTTGTTCATGTAGTTCTTAGTTCCTCGGTATGCCTGATTTAAATGTAAGTTCTACAGGGCTTTCTACCCCCAGTGAGTAACTTCTATCAACATTTCAAGGGCAGATTGACCACAAAAGAGATGTGCAGCTCAAAAGGCAATTTTTAATGGAATGTTTAGATTTGATAGTCTCAAAACTCCTCGGTTCCAACTGTTTCATGCTTGGTAGGACCTGATCTTTTACTTAAAACTTTCCTACATAAATACTTTCATCTTCAGCTTTCATTCCTGCTGCTCAGGAATAAGATACTTTTCTAAAAGCGCTAAGGTGGCTTTAGCCCTGGAAAGAAAAAAGTGAAATTGCTTAAAAGAGTGCTACTTGAAATTCCATGTGTATCTACATTATTCTGAAAGAGCATTGTAATTAAACATGGAAACAAAGTATCTCCTGTTTGTTGTCTGATACGTATTTCTTCCACTAGAAATGACTAAACAAAAGCCTGTTGAATAGATAGAGAAGAAGAGGTTCAATAATATATTTCCCAAAGTGTCTTCCCCTCCTCCCACCTCCACCCTTAGTCTTTAGGTAAATCAAATTGTTTGAAAGAACATGCATTAATATCTAAGGCATATGTAGTCTGTATATTGCTTACTTTCAAAGCTATTTTCACATATTAGCAAATACCAGCTTTTCACATTAAACAGAAGCTATACTTGAGAGTGGCCCATGACATGTATAATACACATAAAACACAGATTAAAATGCATTGTCTAGTCCCTCAAAAAAGGTACCCATGTATTTGTGGCCTATTCTTTTTAAATAAACCAGCAGACACAATTCCTGCTGGAGTATGCTCTTGACGATTTTTTGGCAAATAACATTTGATCATGTTCTGAATTTTTTGCCAGGTGAGTGTAAAGCAGTGAGACATGGTGAAGCATATAAATATTCCTCTGCCCACCATGTGCTAGGTAACAGGTGCAAAGACTGTGGAAGTTTCTCTCATGCTAAAATTATTTTGCTTAACATTGTAACTGATCAAAATAAAGGGGTACTTAAAGGTATTATTGTTTTATTCAACTGCTTAGAAAGATCTTCCCTTTAAGATGGGGAACTATCTATGCTGATGGAATATTGAGCCTCATATTGTGTTCAAACATAAACAATACAGGATGAGTAAAGATGCCTTATCTTGCCTTTTTGGTTTTCTTTCTAATATTGCGGCAGCACTATTTATAGCTAAGAAAATTCTTGCCATGATGGCTGTGCCATGAGAGAAGGCAACCAACACAACTATAGGAAGCTGTTTCTGAGAACAGCTGGTTTTGGTTTTGATGACCTAGAAAGCAAGTCTGCTTTTGTGGATTTCTTGAACTCTGCATGTTGATAAAGCTGGTTGCTGTTTTCTAAGAATACTGAAATATACTTTAGGAGTTCTGATGCTAGATATTTGTGAAACCTTTATTAAATATAATATTAATTTGGAAATACCCTGACTACTTACATGAACACATTCGTCTGAAGCTTAATCTTGCTCTTTACATTTTCTTGTTGATGATAAAGTTTTTATGTAGGGATTATATTTTTTAATTTGATCTAAGGCAGAATTCTGAAAGGCTAACTAAGAAACAGGATATTATCGTGGAGATAAAATGAAGAATGTGTTTATTATAGATGTTTTTGTTACTATCAAGTGCTGGAATTGCAGCTGGTAGTTGAGATGCATACTGTGACTTCAAGGAAGCTTAACATTTTCTCTGATTATTTGTAGAAGAAAAAGTGCTAACCTGAAATCCTTTAAAAAGAATTTACATAACTGTTAAAAATGTAAAGAAAGCTTATTATTCTAACACTTGCATTATTATGCAGCACCTATGACGTAAATTGGCCAGAAACATCTGCCTGCTTCTGCAGATATTACAGCTTGCATGACTACGTTAAAAGTCACGAGTCTTAAACTGGGAATTGAGAAAATGTGAAAGAAGGCAGTTGCATCTGGAGTTGAACTAGTCAGGATGTAAAACATACCTAGTCTGGGGAAGTTGTGGACTGTTTACACAGTAATTTCGTGACTTTAAGTAATGTGTGATTGCTGACAGGACTTTGTCTTTTACAAAGTAGAAATAATGCTGCTTCAAAATCTGAAAGCATAAAGTGTCATTTTCCCTCCTACTCACAGTTTGACAGAAAAATCACTTTTTTGGAGCAAAAAGTGTGGTTATAGCATTTAAAATAATGCAGGGCTTTTGACATGCACTGCTATAGTTAAAATGTGGCACATGAGTTGATTTGCTTGTTGAAAAGTCAGTTCCACTTAACAGAAAGAATGGCCAGAAATTTTTTTCTTCAGATGGAATTTTCTAGGAAGAATTGCAATCAGAAAGTAGGTGTTGAAAAATGCCATTTGTTCTGTTACTGTGTAAGTTTCATAATAGCTTTCATTATAAAGCAGTGAGGAAAGTTAAGGGTAAATTCCTGTGTGGGAGAAGGGGCATATAGGCTTTTCTAATTCTCTTGATATATACTACTCTGCAACATGCAGAGCATTGCAGAACACTGGTTATTCCAAGGCTTCTGAGGTTATTGAGGATCTCAGTAGATTTTTTTAGTACACCTGTGTGTGTCTGAGCACGCATGTTTGACTTGGCAGGAGTTTAAAAGAATAAAGTTTGGAACAAGAACAAATTCTCATAACTTACCTCGATGGCTTCAGGAGAGCAGGCAGCTGGGATGGTGGCATTTTCTGACATTTCCTTGGGCAGCAGTGCTCACTCTCAGCAGGTCTGAGGGTACTGGGCAGGCACAGCAGGATGTGCTTCCCATTGCAGTGTTTTACGGGACCAGGCTGGTGTTAGCATCTGCTCTGTGTGCACTTAGCGCCAGAATGCAGTGGGTCAGGAGTGGCTGTAAAGGTCTGCTGGAGGTGAACACAAGTATCCCCATAGTGAGAGCTGCCTTGGAAGCAGATTTTTGGTCTTAAAAAATTGCTTTGGAACTACATACTCTTTTTTTAAAACAGTGAATCTGCCTCTACAAGCATTGTAAAACTTGTGGGTTGCTGTGTGTATGAGGGCTGGAAACTTCTGAAAAAGTTGAAATGAAAAGAGTACTGAATGAGTAGCTTTTATTATATTTGGAAGATTATGCATACCTTATACATAGTTTATACTTGTTTGTTTTTTCAATCCTTAGCAGCAAATCATGGAAGGAATGTGCTGGGCCTGGATTAAATCTTTATTCCATTTTTCAGTCACGCACACAAAAAAAGTTCTTTTTCTCTTCTGTCCCCTTGCTCTCAGTAGATGTATTTGACTGCTTAGCATCTTTAATGTGGTGTTTCTCAGAGCTTTTGCTCCTTATGGAAGCCTGTTTTGGTCAGTATTTACTTTTTGTTTTTGTTTTGTCAGCAGCCATGCAGCAGGTCTTAGACAACCTTACTGATCTGCCGACATCGACAGGCGCTGAAGAAATAGACCTGATTTTTCTTAAAGGAATTATGGAAAACCCTATCGTAAGATCACTTGCTAAGGTATTTAAATTTGCTGTTTTGAGTAGAATCTGGGAATGTTTTAACTCTTATATTATTGTATGAATACTGAGTGTGGGTTGAGGTATCAACAACGCATTGTTGGTACATCTTATTAAGAGACTTGAAGGCCAGCTTGAAGGTGAGGTGTTGGTAAAGTGTAATTGCTGTGCATGCTGGTTAATTGTTATATAGAAAAATCTAAAGGAAGATGAAAAATTCAGAGACTAGAGAAATAATGTGGTTAAATTATTTATGAAGAAAATAAAGTATTTGAAATTAGAAGCAGTTGATATTAATGTGGTCTTGTAACCACTGTTGTGTGCCAAATCCATATGCCTTCTGACTTTCAGTGTTTTTGCCAGAGATGAAAAGTGAGAGCAGTCACCTTCATTATCCTATGGCATAAAAAAGTTTTCATCGTTAGCTCAAAACTACTTTCTGTTATACCAGGAAAATATTTTCTCCATGCCCTTTCCTGGATCTCAGACTAATGCTTTTGCCTTTGATTGTTGGCTCTCTAAAACATGGATTACCCTAAGTTTTTGTTCTTGGGTTATGAAAATCTTATATGTATGGGTGGTAGCAATCAATTATAAATATGTAAGGTGATATTCACAAAAGCGTTTTTGGACTCTGTAATTAAAATGTAGCTGGTCTTACCAGTAGGAAATGTAGTCAAATATTCTACATCACTTATATTCGTTCTTAATCTTACTTCATAAAAATAAGCTTCTTTCATGAAGAAAACACAGTTGACTTAAATACAGCTGTTTCTGTAATAGGAACAGACAGCTGAAAGCAGTGTCCTCTGGGCAGGTATGAAATCCTCTGTAAAGCTAAAGGATTGTTGTCCAGGGATTTTGTTCAGTATAAAAATCTGGAAAGGAAAACTTCTCATGAGAATTCATATAAGAATTTACTTCTGTTTAGCTGTTCAAAAAATTTGTTTTAAGTTGAAGACATGGCATAGTAATAAACTAAGAAGTAATGGAAGTATATTATGTGCTGGTGAGATGACTGCAGAGGGAAAGATTTGTGTACTAAATTTACTAGAGTAAGTAAAAGCATTGTTTTACTGACAATGGGAAAAACTTTAAGTATCTGCTGCATAGGTCGTCTTTAATATTAATCATGAAGAAAATGTTCATTGCAAAGCCTTTTTTCCTTATCAAGAATTTGTGCTTTAATGGCCAGTAACAATTAGGTGGAATTTAATGACTAACAGATGTAAAAAAAAGTGCTAGTAATGGAAACAGATTTTTAATTGTACACATGCTTTATCTAGAATACTTAGGGGTTTTGTGTTCATATGGCGTGACTGCACTCATATTTTCTTTGTAATTATTTTGGAAAAATCCTCAGTCTTAACCAACAGTGCTAAATAAAGATAAGATCAAAACACATTTGGTGAAGCGTATGTAATTCACATATATATCTATTTGTTCCTAAAAATACATAAACTTGCTTTTCTATTAGAAGAGCTGGTTTTACCAGAATTGGCAGTTCTCTGAGATGGTTATGTTATTTAAGCAGAATCATTTCAAAGCAGGCCAGAAATGCAAAAGCTTTTTCATTTTCCTTTATTAGCCAGTTATTATTCATTATGTAAAGTATGCCAAAAAGGACAATAAGAAACTTGGGGAAATGTGCCACAAGCTATACAAGCTTATTTTCTCCTTTTGGTCCTTACATAAATGAAGACAAACAATAAGCGTAGTAGTTAGTTTATAGTATTTTGCAGGAGTTTGGCTGATCTTTTAAAACTGGATTACATTCATTTCACACTTTTCTTGTATAGAGTAAAGGCAGTAAGGTAGCAAGTACAGGGTTTTTTTGGGATAAGGTTCTTTCACTGAACCTTTCCACTTTTCCAGTAGGTGGTAGAGGAAAGGAGAGCTAATTGTTATAATTGTAAAATGTTTTTTCCTGTCACTGGTATTTATAACATCATAGAGTAGTTTTGGTTGGAAGTGGTCTTTAAAGATGACCTTGTCTAACCCCCTTGCAATGAGCAGGGACATTTTCAACTAGATCAGGTGGCTCAGGGCCCTGTCCAGCCTGACCTTGAATGTTTCCAGGGATGGAGCGTCTACAGCCTTTCTGGGCAACCTATTGTGGTGTTTCACCACACCCATCCTAAAACTTTTCTTCCTTATATCTAGTCTCAGTCTATCCTCTTTTAGTTTAAAGTCATTATGCCCTGTCCCATTGCTAAAAGCCCTACTAAAATTTGTTCCTATCTTTCTTGTAAGCCCCCTGTAAGTATTGAAAGACTGCTATAAGGTCTTCCCAGAGTCTTCTCTTTTCTAGACTGAACAACCCCACTTCGGTATCTTTCTTGTGCTGATGTGTGTTCAATCCTGACTAGTCTTTAGCATTAATATGCTTTTTGGAAAACAGTTATTGAACTTGGAACAAGCATGAATTCTCCTCAGTTTTGCTAATGAACTGTGGTATCAAAATGCTCTTCTCCTTTCTGCTGTCACACTATTGCTTTTAGCATTGTAGCACAGCCTACAGCAGACCAGGTGAATGCCCAATCCAGCCAAGGAAGCATCTTGGGAGTAATCTATAAGTGTTTAGTCTAGTATTTAAGATGTCAGATTGCTGGAGGTATAAGCTTTATTATTTGAACATTTGGCAGTCACGATAAATACTGAATGCACAGAAAGGCTCAATTCAGTATTGATGTTTCTGAAATGTTCAATTGAAATGAAAAAAAAATCACAATATACAAGTTAGGTATTCCTATTTGTTTGTTTTTTAACTTATTCATACCATTCCATGTCTTGATCCTCCTCAACATATTAGAGGGTCAGAGATTTTCACTGATAAAACTTTATGTTCCCCAGTATATGCATGGCCTTGATTTCCGAGTGAAGGGTGAGGATATTTGTATTTAGATGATATCACTCAGTGTTATGGTGGTTTTTTGAAAACAGTGGGTGATAAAAAAGGTAATCCATATTCTTTAATCTTGTAAAGATTTTGCAGTTGGGTTATGTTTAAAAATCACTAGATTTGTGTTTTTACTTGCTGTAAAAGAATTAAACTTTAAAAGAAGGATCATGTTTACTGTATGTATTCTGAACAAAATAGCATTCTCTTATAAAGAAGAAAGTGTGTAGGTGCCGAGCTTCCTATAACTTTGTAATCAACAGCCATTTGTTTTGTGTGTATTGGTGTTGGAGAATGTTTGGAATGCCTTTATGTTAAGTTAACCTTTCCATAATTTGGTCATCAGGGCTGCAGAAATAGTATTTTATGGATAGGAAGTACAGTTTAATACTCAGATGATTTCAGGAAGCAAAGTTTTCTGCTTTTAGCAACATTTACTGTCTGTTTTAAAGCACTAATAAGAGAGCAGAAGTGCTTGCATACCTTCAAATTAGATCTATGGGAAGTATATATAGATGACTGAATTATACTTATTATGTATTTGGTTTTAATATGCCAAAATAACTATTCCTTTGTAAGTTTCTTGTTGCTACAGTGTTGAAAATAACTTTTAATTGAGAATCTGAGTTATTTTTGGCCTCCTTATTCCCTAATTCTATCATAGAGCTCTGTCTGTAATAAATAAGTGAAGCATTCAGAGATGCTTCTCTTCCTGCTCAAAGCATCTACCTTTCAATGAATTTCAGTGTCTGCAGAGTTCAGGAAAGGATTATGTCTGCAGGAATAGCTCCAGAAACAGATGAAATGTTATCAAAGAATCACAGAATGATTGAGGCTGCAAGGGACCTCTGGAGGGCATCTGGTCAAACTCTCCCTACTCAAGCAGGGCACCTGGAGGTGGTTGCCCAGGACCACATCCAGACAGCTTTTGAGTATCTCCAGGCAGGGAAACTGCCATCTTCTCTGGGCAACCTGTGCCAGTGCTCAGTCACCCTCACGCTGATTCCTGATTTTCAGACAGAGCTTCCTGAGTTTCATTTTATGAATGTCCTGTCACCAGTCACCTCTGGAAACAGGCTGTCTCTGTCCTCTTTGCATAGCATAACTTTTATACACATTGGTGAGATTTCCCTGAGCCTTCTCCTTTCCAGGCAGAACAGTCCCAGCTTGATCAGCCTAGCCTCAAACATAAGGTGCTCCAGACCCTTCATCATGTTTGTGGCCCTTCACTGAGCTCTTTCCGGAATGACCAGTGTTCCAGGTGTGGCCTCACTAGTGCTAAGTAACACTCACTCTGCTAGTAACACTTCTAATGCAGCCCAGGGTACTGCTAGCTGCCTTTGACTCTAACTTTTTTTTGGCATTTCATTCAGTTAGGCAGATTTTTCTGTAGAATGTGCTGTTCAAAAGGTGTTTGAATGGGATGAGTCAGAGGTAAATGTTTTTCTTGCAGACTGTGAAAAGATCCCATAGTTCCTTTTTTGTCCTTCTTCTAGAAGGTGTACTTGTCCAGGATTCCAAAGCAGGAAAGGTCTTGAGGTGCTATACTGTTGATAGAGCAGTGCTTGGTATGTATAGCATAGAGGAGATAAGGACTTAGAAGCCTCTCTGGTATGTGCTGCTCATAAAATTTGTTGGATCATGTAGTTGAGCATGCAAAATCCTTCAGCAGTTAAATCAGGTTATCCTATATATAATTTTACTGGCTTTTCTGCTGCAGATTGCACTGAGAAATTACTTGAAAAGTTTATAAATTTTAACCACTTAAAACTTATTTACATTATAATCTCATGTATTTAATCTTACAGGCTCACGAGCGACTGGAGGATTCCAAACTTGAGGCTGTCAGTGACAACAACCTGGAGCTGGTGAATGAAATTCTTGAAGACATCAGTCCCTTAGTAAATAAGGATGAAAATGTTGCAGAATTGGTTGGAATTCTCAAGGAGCCTCATTTTCAGGTGCCATCTTTTTACTGTATGTTACCAGCTTGCTGTATCAGTCTCCACATACACATCTAGGAATAATAAAGAAACCAAACCTGAACTATAGCAAACTGTAATATGTAGGATTTTACTCCAAATAAAAGGTAAATCAGAAGCCATGTTACAAATAAGCATGATTTTATTCTTTGATATAGTTTCAAAAATACTTTTACTCACTGTATTAAATTCTAATGGAGCTTCTGTTAAAATCTTGGACAGGCTTTTAATTCCTGTATGACTGGAGTTTCCATAAAAATTCCCTGAAGGCTTGCTTCATCTGTAACATTTCTATGATCAGTTCCTGATCATGAGCATTGTGTGCATTTCAGTTCAGCTGTTGGCATTCATACTCGTGTGTAAGACATGCGGTTTGCAGAGTGAATTAACGTGATTCTTCTGTGCTCTGGTCTGCACTGCAGCTGAAGCTGAGACTCTGCATCCCTCTCACTGTTGCTCTGCTTAAGTGAAGTGTTGACATCTGCTTGTCAAAAGCAGATGTTTTTCCATTTTGCTGTTTCTATGATTAGCTTCTGTACTGAGCCTCGAAGATCAAGATTTGAAAATCCTTCATAGTTTCTGCCCTTTCTGGGTAGGGTTCAGTGGACTTTGCTACTTCAGTGGACTGCTAGTAAGCTAAAGGTATTCTGTAGAAGACCATAAACAACCTTTTGCCACAGTATAAGTGGTCTTCTTTTGGCAGACAGGTATGAAGTCATAGGCATTTTTGGGATAGATGAGTTTAAACACACTTTTTTCCCAGATTTTCAGTTACGTGTTATACAGATATAGCAGTGAGATATATTACTGTTTAACATGGATAAACACTTGAAATGCTGTTGGTTGTATTGTGTCCTATTGGAAAAAGGATCACTTCAAGAATTCAGCTTTGGAGGCAGTAGCTCTTCTGAGTACTGACAGTTCCTTTGCCTCTCCTGTGTTGGCTTCCCTTGTGCTCTTACTTGTGCAGAAAGGCATCATAGCTAAGTGATCAAAAACTGATTTGGAGACTTACTGGTGCATAAACCTGCAAATCAGTCTTCAATCCCATAGTAGAAATTGGTACTTGAAAAGGACTGGATGAGCTTGTAGGAATTGATAATTAAAATGCAACAGGATTAGAACTGAGGACCAACTGGTGCACTGGCAGACCTGACAATGATCCGTTGTGTTAGACAGAGAAAATAAAGCTGAAAGTCAAAGAGGATGATGAATCAAAAGATGAAAAGGGCATAACAATTGAAGTGCTGCACTTTGAAAGGCACAGTAACAATGATCTCTGGAGAGAAATGGCGAAGGCCAGAGACAAGCTTGGGAAAAGGATCTTTGGGGTGGAAACTGGAAATGGCCTGGAGGAGACAGATCAAATAAGAATTTTTGGGTGAATAAGAATCAAGTAAGAATTACTGGGTGAATAGCCAACACTAAGGCAAACCCAGCATTTATTCCTGTTCAGTGGTCAGATCTACAGAGAGGTAGAATGTCATGTTGGTGTCAGATACTTCATTAGTTCAGGCTTAAGCAGCTTAAACATATAATGTAAAAGGTCCAAAATAGCTGGTGAGTTAGAATGTCAGTATTTATGCTCTTTCTTGTACTTTTTTTGTTGCTTGATATACAAGGAGCAGATGTGAAACTGCATATATATTCTACCTTAACTTTACAGTTTTGCTCAGATTTTTTGTTCGTGCTTCCTAATTGCATATTAAAGGTCCATTTAGCAAACATCTCTTCTGTTTTCCTTCCCTGTTCCAGCAGCAGGCGTCTAGTGAAGACTGTAAGGCTAGAGCAAGCCAACAGTGATACCTTCCAAAATCTGTTGTGAAGATTTGGTGACTTGTTGCTCAGAATTCTGAGTGAGAAGTATTACCATCCACCTGTTGTTCTCTTCCATGAGCTTATTCAGTTGTTTTTTTAACCCATGTGCAAATCTGTCATTCACGGCATCCCCCCGTCTGAGTGGAGCCTGTGCTCTTTTAGTTTTGAGACTGTCTCCTGTCAATTTCACTTAATATTCCCATCCTCTTGTGTAGGAAGAAAGTGAACAGTTTTTCTTAATCAGCTTTTCCATGTTACTTTTGGTTGGAGAGACCTCATTGTGTCTGTCTGTGTCAAGTAAATAAAATGAAGGGAAGCAAAGGTATATACAGCATGGATTTCTGAAGTGGTGTCATAATTTCTATTGCATTTCCTACTCATGGCATAAAAGTTCCTAGTATTTGGTTTGCCTATTTAACAGCTGATGAATAGAAGAGAAAAGTTCAGTTAGATGGGACGTAAGAGTGCTCATCCACTCCAGCTGCCTGACCAGTTCAGAGGTGACTGAGAATTAAAGCCTGTTATTAAGGGTACTGTCCAAATGCCTGTTAAACATTGACAGACATAGGGCATCAACCGCCTCTTTAGGAGCCTATTCCAGTGTTTGACCACCCTGTCAGTAAGGAAGAGGTACCTTTAGGCTTAGGGAGAGTAGATTGCTTGTTAGGCTCAGTTTGGTTTTGTATTGTTTACATCTTCGAGATACCATTTCTGAGTCTGTCAGTTAATATATTAAACTAGGATTGTGTTTTCCCTTGCAGTCAGTGTTGAATTTCATTTGCCTTGTTCTCAGTCTATTGCTCATGAGGCGCCTCTGCAGGTTGCAGTCAGTTGTTTTAATCCATCAGCAAACTGTCATTTCACTTCTCATCCCCATTTCCTAGGTCATTTATCTGATACGTCAGTATATTGGGAGGTGTAGAACTGAGCCCTGATGCCTGTGGAAATCACCTGATGACATGAATTCTGAAAACTAAAAATACTATATTCCTGACACCAATTTTTTCTGGCTTCTAACCATTATTTTCTTCCACTTGAAAGCCTTACTGCTTATCCTGTTGTAGTTTTGTTTCTTTAAAAGGCTTCTACCAAAGGCCTTACAGAAATTGATCTGTATTAAAAATTCTAACTGCCTTGTTGCCATTCTTGGTAACTCTTCCGAGGAATCTGACTAGATTTGAGAAGTATGACTTCCTTTATTAAAGCATATTGATGCTTTCCATTGATCTGTTTTGTCCAGTCATTCTGGGTTTTATGGAAACTTCTGATTTGTTTAGTATCAGCATTGGACTTACTGTTTTGTAGTTTGTTGACTCTTCTTTGAAATCCAGTTTAAATATTCATGTTATGGTTATTGCTTATATGCTGCTTTTTTCCCTATAGTGTTGGGTGAGTCATGTAAGAAAAACACAGTGCAACTTTTTTTACTGCAAAACATGGATTTTACAAAAAGGGCAAAAAAGTGTGAAAGGAAGAACAAATAGATGGTTAGGGTAGTTAAATGCTGCCCTGGAGAACTGGCCTATTCATCACCCTGTCAGAACTGGAATTAATTTTTAAAAAGTCTGAGGAAGCTTTAACTTATATTTTTAAAATTTATTCTCTGTGTGCCTCTTGTGAGGCATTCAGTCTCATTTGCAGAAACAATGAGCAGTTTTGGCTGCTGTGTATGGGCAAAAGCATCTATCTACTTACTTCTTTAAAGTATGTCTGCTGCTATTCAATTCTGAAGCAAAAAATTAGGGAGAATTTTCAGCCCTTTGTACTGTACTTTGTAATTCCATTATCCATGTGAAGGCAAGCAAAAAATCAGCTGAGGCCAAAGCACTGATTTTTTAAATTTAATTGCTATCATAGTTATGACCATTCTAGAAGAAGTTCTAGGACAAATTGCAGACCAAATGTGGATATAATATCTTTTTTAAGGCTTGGGAAAACTATATATCTCCTTCTCCAAAAAGGAAACAGAAAATTACCTAAATACTCAAGAAATAAGTGCTATCATTTCTGCCTCATTTGGTGCAAGGAGGCATATTCCAAATTCTGCATGAAGGGAAAAAGGAAAAATAAAATGTCTATCACACTTACAGAAAATGTCATTTGCATCCTTTCTCTAGTTCAGTAAAAGTGCAAACAACCAACCTGACACTTTAAAAGTTTCATGGACACTACTGTGTAGCTGGTTTAGAGGCTTTGTATTTTACAAATGAATGGTGCCACTTTATCACAGTGTCACCTTACAGTTGTAACTTGCCTTGGCATGCAAGTATAAAATGTGATATATAAGGCATCAGTGCAGTAGTTTGTTTGAATGTATAATTTAGTTCTAGAAAAAACAAATTACAGGACTTCATTTTTTAACACATTTTTGTAGAAGAGCATTTGGGAAGGACTAAATCTGGAGTAAAGGTGCATGTGTGGCTGTATTATTCCTTCTCTTTTCTCCTTTATTTCCTCTTCTTTCATCCCTTCCGCTTTTTACCCTTTTTAGTTTTAACTGAACTTTTCAGAGGTCAAAGTGTGAAAGTTATAATGAGTTTCACAGTATTGATGGCTAGCCTGTAGGTCAGTATGTGTTGGAGAGCCAGCTGGCATATGCAGCACATAGAAAAGGCTGTAACTAGTCTTTCCAGATAGGAGTGGTAAGAGAGATTGCCTTGAGGAAAGAAGAAGCAGTTAAAAATTTTCACACTATTGGAGTGGTTAAACATGCAGAAGAATCACTTCTGCTTCTTCTTGGAAGAGCTTGTTCTGTCACTTTCACCTTTCAAGAATTAGCCAAACCATTAATCCTAAATAGATTCTGCTGGCAATAAAATACTTAATCCGAGAAACAGCCAGTATTGTCTTCTACTAGTTAGTTTTATAAGGGCTGATCATATCTTTAAGATGTTTCATTTAGAAAAAGTGATCTTAAATTGCGTCCTAGACAGATATCAATATATAGGGTTATTTTCCCCACATATTCCTGTGTTCTTACCAGCCGTCCTGATTTTTCCAAGGTCATAAATGATTTCCTCACTTTTCCAGAAGGGCTTTAAAATGCATTCTTTTCACATGACCATTAGGGGCCTCTAGTCCATTTATTAAGTCCTAATATTTAAACAAGGTTATCAGGGAAGGCTAGCACACATTTAGCGTATAAAAGAGGAAGGGAAATATTTTAGATAGTTCTAGGTCTACAGTGTTTGGAAAGGAGTCCTGAACTCAAGACTATAGTCGTTCTACTCTTGTGTATTCACTCCCACCACAGCCCCTAGTTTGTAATTTAATTGTGCTTTTGGATTAGAATTGAGGAAATAGTTACTATATTATTTAGGATAATGCTTCATAACATGTTTAGATTGTGTAGAGAATTTTTTTTAGGAAAAATATATGTTGAGTTTGAACTTGGCTTCAGCACTGTAGAGAGTTTTGAATGTTTAATGTTTCTGTGTTTAATGAATTTTCAATTATGTTTTAAATTATTTTTTTACCTGTCAAGTATACGCAGCCACAGAAAGCTACCGTAAAGCGATCAATATCTTCCAAGTTTATGGATTGTTTTTTGACAGTATCTTGCATAAAGAGATCTTACTGTCTGTCACAGGAGTGTGTATCCATTGTGTGTTAACTCTTGTGCTTGTAGGAGTTCTTCTAAATGCCATGTTCTGACAATATTGGCATTTTTTTTAGAGAACCTTTCTACAGCTATACATTCTTGGATAGTCAGTTGATCCTGTTTACAGGAGGAAATTTTGTATGAAGGAAACTTTGAACCATTCTATGGTTGTTGATCTCTCCATGTTATTTTGCAGACTTTGGCATTGATTTTATAAGTGCTCTAGGACCAGTATGGAAAGGTCAGATTCCAGTGGAGCTCTGGAGTTTCAGGAGCACAGGATATCAATTTTTCCCATATCACAAGAAAGAAAGAAGTTCATGTAACTGTATTTCTCAGTTCACTCAGCTGTGTTCCTGAAATAAGAAAGTAACTTAAGGACATAAGATGTTGGCAAGTGGTCTGGCAGTGGTACAGACACAAGGCCCCTGTTGCCAGATGCTTGTACTTAAGTGTTCTTCAGGACTGTAGGTCATGACCTGGCTGGCTGGAAACAGGCTCATAAAACTGGTACAGATTCTTGAGTTTCAGAACTGAGAGTTAGGCGTGGGACAGTAATAAGTTAACTATGCCTTAAGGAAACCAATGAACCACTTTTCTTAAAGAAACCACTTTAGAGTTGTGGGCAGTCCCTGATAGTCTTCTGTAACTCAGGCACTGTGTAAATAATAAGAAAAAGATCCTCTGACTGAGAGATGGTTAAGTAGCAGTTGTATGAATTCATGGTTATCCATAAAATTGAGTGGTTAAAAAGGATCAGTATGTGGAATGGGATCAGATTTAAGAACTGAAGAATTTTACAGAGTGTGTTCATTTGAAAAGGATGACAGAGACTGTTATCTTAGTAGGCTTTTTGGACTGTGGATCAGATTATAATCTATAAATTGCGTTACCATTAAAGGGCAGAGATCTGTACAGGCAGCTGTGTGAGGTTTCATGAGAATTATAGTGGGTTGTGGTCAGAAACTTCAGGGACTATTTGTTTTAGCATATGACCAGAAGAAAACTGGAAGTCTCATACTGCTGTATCTACCTGGTTTTATGAGCGCTAATCTGTAAAACTGTGTAGCTGGTGAAAATTAGTTTCATTTTGGAAATGTAGAAATATCCAAAAATATGTTGCTTGCAAACATTGACAGAGAGATCTATTCTCCTGGTTTCTGGATTGGATATGTCTTGGATAGGAAAGAATTAGAAATTGCTACCATCTGACAGCTGCTTGATTTAAATAAATGATTGTTTTTCCTATTTAATTTGATTTGGTTTGTGTCCACAGTATCAGAGCAGCCACAATAAGCAGCTGTCTTTACAGTCTTAATGGAAGGGGCAAAATTGGTGAATTGATACTTCTTCTAACCTCAAGTTGAAATATCAGCAGGTTCATCGTGTAATGGGCAGATTAAAATGACTATTCAGGTTTGTGACACTTTGAGGGCTTGTATGCTGAGTTAAGCACTAACCTAGCGTGGTTGCACAGCCTTTAGCTTAGAGGTGGCTTACAGAAGGATGGAGCAGACTGCATAGTAAATCATTACTCTTACTTGCTCACCTCCTCTGCTTTCTGGTAGTTTGCTGTCTTCCTCTGGCATGTGCATGTCAGTATCAGTAAAAGTCCCATGGTGTCTTCTCTTTACAGCTACTTACATGACACAGTAATCTGCCTTAAGACTGTTTCTGACCAGTCACTGTTAGAACAAAGCTGGGTAGTTGGAGGTCCAGTAGGCATCTCCTCTGTTTGCTGCTTCTCTCTCTGTATCTCAGTGTGACTCTGTGCTGTAGGATGCTTTACCTTGGACTACTGTGTATCATGGCTGTCGTGTGTCCCTTGTCCTCTCGTAGAATCACAGAATGGTTTGGGTTGGAAGGGACCTTAAAGATCATCTTGTCCCAGATCCCCCACCAAGGCCAGGAACACCTTACACTAGAAGGTGACAGAAAGACAGGAAGTCTCCACTGTCTTAATGCACAAGTTTTATCTTGGTTTACCTGTATGTGTTGTCTTAATTTTTCTTTATCTTAAGATGTCCTGTATCAGAAACCCATGCCTAAATTACATTGTCTTCCAAACACGATTATATTCATTTGGATCTCCTCCTTCTACCTTGTATTTATGTATGTGGACATGAAAACACCATTAACTCTAAGGTGTCTTCCAGAAAGTAAATCCTGTCAGCTTGGATTCATTTGCCTTGGCATTATGCAAGCAGGAAGCACTCGTTCTGCAGATGGCTAGAAATTGTTGCGTACCTGTCATTATCCAAATTACTGTGGAGGAAGATTTTATTGCATTAAACTCAAGTATCTAATGATGGGTTATCTTCATTTTTTGCAGTGGGTTGTTCATTTACTGTAACCATTTGCTCAGATACTGTCTCATTAGGTGGAAGACTATTTTAGGTACTTCTTTTTCTGTCTTCTTCCCTCCTAACACCACACATTCCTTCCCATTTTAGTTACATTAGTTTACATTTAGTTACATTTCTCCTATATTGCCTTAAGAAGTAGCAGAAGTTTTTGACAAGATAGCATATTTGCCAAGGCTTATCAGTTATTTGCAATAGGCTTATCAGTTCATGTGAGCACTTGTGTGTCCGTTTTTACTTTATTCATGTGAAGTAAGTCTATTATGGCCCGGTCCCTAAAGGACAGATTCAGTGGTTACTCAGCACTAAATCCTATCACAAACAGTTATTTCTTATGACTTTTTAAAAGATTTTTTTCTGTTCCTTTGCAGTCACTTTTGGAAGCACATGATATTGTGGCTTCAAAATGTTACGATTCCCCTCCTTCTAGCCCAGAAGTCAATAATTCTTCAGTGAACAACCAGGTTGTTCCAGTAGATGCTATTCGTATCCTTGGAATTCACAAAAGAGCGGGGGAGCCACTGGTAAGTAATTGAGGATGAGTTTGTCTTTAACATGCTAGTGAAAACGTTTGCATGTACCTGATTTTTTGCATTATGTTTTAATTATTTCTATTATGTTGTGTAATTTAGTGTGTGATAAACTCCATATTGAGAGGTTGAAATAGGAAGATACTTTTATGTACTGAAGTAATGGGATCATGATCAGGCAGTCACTGGGCTGAATGACTGCTGCCCTAACTGACTAACACAACATCTGTTTGGTCCTGAGATGACAGGATTGCATGCAATCAAGGACAACAGTAATTTTTCAGTCATATGAAAACCTTGTGTGAAATCACTTCTGTGTCACCTGATGCTTCCCTGTATCAGGAGCTCTTATGCTGTAGTAGCTGTAACTCTGTTTTCATTGGAGTGGGTGGAATATCCCACAGCTGTGTATTTGAGCTTGAGATAATGGTAGAATGAAACTGAAATTCAAACAGTGGTAAACTGTGTGTCATGTACCTCTTTCAGGGAGTCACATTTAGAGTTGAGAACAACGATCTGGTAATAGCCCGAATTCTTCACGGAGGAATGATAGATCGGCAAGGTCTTCTGCATGTAGGTGACATTATTAAAGAGGTGAACGGCCACGAGGTTGGAAACAATCCAAAAGAATTGCAAGAGCTGCTGAAAAACATCAGTGGAAGTGTCACTTTGAAAATTCTCCCCAGCTACAGAGACACTGTCATTCCTCAACAGGTCAGTAGCACATATCTGATGATTCTGTGGAAAGAACTTCTGCTTAGTACTTTGTTGTGTAAGATTCTTTAAGTTTCTGGGTTGGATATATTTTGATTATTTTGTGAATATAATACTAGGAGGAAGAGTAAAATGTAGATACCTGTATTTACCTTTAATTACATTTTAGAAACGTGTTTATTCACCTAATATGCCTGCCTAACTCGAATTAGTGTCTAAAATTGTTAGGCATTTGTATGCTACATATCAAGCACATTTCTTTGACCTTAAGTGACCTCTGAGGACCTGACCACATTCACACTTCATGCAGTGAAGTGTGTGTGTTTATAGCATGGTTGGTGTCGAAATAATCATTTTCATAGAATTCAGAAACATATTTAATTCAACAGATGAGCTTGAACTCATTGATTTCAGTGGGATCTAGGATGGTGGCTATTCCTTATCCTTCTGTTGTTGCTGTAGGCTGTCAATTTCTCCATGGCAGAAGCGACTTCCTCAGCTAAATCAGTGCCTTTGAGACACTGTATAAGTTGCTCCTTCAGGTAGTTGATCTTAATGCCTGTGGCTATAACAGGCTGTGCTTCCACTGAGTAGTAGGTGAGGGAATGTGCTCTGTTGAGGCAGGTGCAGGGCTTCTGTTGCTGCCCAGTCTGGTGCAAAGAGAGTCAAAGATGTTTTCGGTTCAGTCATGCAACCTACTGTTTCTTCCTGAGTCTTAATTTGAGTCTTAAGCAGTCTCATCTCCTGTTACTTTCAAAACATTGAGTTCATGGAAAAAATAATTCTTAAGATTCCACAAGCCTTAAATAGAGTGCTCACATGCCAATAATTTTTTTTGTATTTTTAAGTAATTAAAATCAGAATTCTAATTAAGTTGTATATGCTTAAATGCAAAAATGAGCGTTTTATAATAGCATGTCCAAATGGAACATATTTTTTTATTTTTATCATGAAGCTACTTCAGCCAAGGTTTGCACTGTTGATTATTCTGTCCCAGTTGGTGTATAACTTTTCCCCCTATATTGTATTTTGCGTGCCAAATGCAACTTGGATCATGTCAAACTTTTTTATGTATTACTTCAGTTTGACAGATTAGTCAGAATGTATTTTATAATTCTTAAGCTTTGTTAATTTTTGCACATTTCAGGTTTTTGTGAAGTGTCATTTTGATTATAATCCATATAATGACAACCTCATCCCATGCAAAGAAGCAGGTTTGAAATTTTCTAAAGGAGAAATTCTTCAGATTGTAAACCGGGAAGATCCGAACTGGTGGCAGGTTGGTAAAAAGATTAAAATAAGTAAAATAAAAAACTGGAAAGCATCAGCATTTGCCTTAAAAATAAATTCTTTAAATTATGATATACTTTCATTTAACAGTAGATACATGAAAAAATATTTACACTGCAATTCAGTTTAAAGCTAATATTAAGATGTGAAGTTGAAACACTAAAGGAAAAGGAATGTTTTAAATTGTAAATGTAATACTCATTGTACTGTTAGTGCTGTTTGTCTTTATTCTTGTATCTTAAAATCAGTTTAACCTGGACAATTTCTAGAAAAAAAATCTTAGTTGGACTGTAATTGTGGTAAGCGTTCCCTGACAGCAACTGTGGAAGAAGTGGACCCCTTCCTGAGTGCTCAGAGTTGAAGAGAGGGAAATTAATCTTGTGGATTTGAAGGGGTGGGAATAACTGTTTGGAGAGGCTGTATCTTTTATTTGTACAATAGTGGTCCGTGTCTGTGGGCTGTATCACACATGCTCATGGTCACTGTGTTTGGCACCTTCTCAAGTATTAACAGTTCATCCTGGTTTAAGGTGGTATTTCTACATGCTGTCCTTCAGTAGAAATGTAATCCAGTGCTTATGCTATATTCATTTTTTCCAAGACATTATGCACAGAACTAAACACTGTCAATGCCTCTGAACATGGGACAAGTGAACCTTTAAGACCCTTTCTCAACAGAGATCCTCAAAACTGGCAAAGAGTTTAGCATTATTAATTTCCCTTTCTACCCCTACCTTGCTCAACCCTTTGCAAGGTAACAAGCAAAAGAGAGCTAGACACTACCTGAGAACAAGACATATGGCTTCTTTAAAAGCAACAGAAATATTTCAATATACATCAACAGCTGCTGAATTTTGGTGCTTCTCAGTGATGGTAATAACAGACAATAAAAATGTGAGGAAAGGCTGAAAATTTATTGCTGCCGATTTAATTAGTTTCAGAAGTAGACCCTCCAAAACTCTGGAGGAGCTTGATGTTTAGCTCCATGCTGACTTCTGTATTGCCTTTCAAACTCTCCAGCTGTAACTTGTGGGAGTCCAGGAGAAATCAATCTTCAACACGCAATCTGGCAAAATTGAAATGTGTTAAATCAGTATACTGTATTGCTATGCAGATCATGCCCCAGGAAAAAGAAGCTTAGTTTTTCCTCATGCTTTCTAGAAATGCTAGAATGTTAATGAAAATTTCATACTGTAAAAAATCAGTTATTCATAGATAAAAGCATACAAGTTGAAAAGCAAACGTCTCCTGTTAGCAGGAATTATGGAAAGCAAAAGATTTATGGAGAATTAAACACTTCATGACTGTTTTTGTGTGTGTTCAGCTTGCTGAGAATTGAGCTTGCCATTAAATTATTTTATAGAGAATTTTAGCTAATTCATTACTGGGAATATTTAAGTTACTAAGATTTTAAATCTGTAGTTGCTTAGTGCAAAAAGCTTGAAGGCATGATTAGGGAATGTGTTACTGGCATTCACTGAAAAATGACAGTTAATAAACTGCACTGGAACTTGTTTGGAGCAGCTCAGGAATACAAAATAAGTATACTGTATACTAGAAAATCTTGAGTTTTGTCACCTGACACTTCAATGTCTGGAGCCAGAGAATTCCACTTGGGAATTTTATGCCAAAGTTTTTTGACTGCAGGAGCTTACTAACGTAATGGGAGCCAGTAATGAAACTTGCATCTATTTTACTTAACTTTTCTGAATTTTAATACTCAATAGCAAGACACTATTCCTGTAAAGGAGAATATTAATATTTGCATTTGACTTTGGATTTCTAAGTCTTAGTTGTAAATGTATCAACACTCACGACTGAGAAGCTGGCAATGAGGAAGTCAGTCAACACCAACTTCTGACAAGTTAAATATAATCATTTGTTTGGTTTCTTTTTTTTCCCAGGCTAGTCATGTCAAAGAAGGAGGAAGTGCAGGTTTAATTCCCAGCCAGTTCCTGGAAGAGAAGAGAAAGGCTTTTGTTAGGAGAGACTGGGACAACTCAGGTGAGATTTAATGAATTTCAGGAGTAGGTTTTGCTCTGACTCCATTTTTCTGGTTCTCCTGCCTTCATAAATAGAAATTATAGAAATAATGGAAAAACTGCTGTGTGAGTTTACATGGATCATTGTGAAATGCTGAATTTTATATTTTGGCTTTGGCTGAAGGAAGAAGGGTGACGTCTCTGTTTAGTGTTCAAAGTGATTCAAAGATGAATCAGTTTTGCCATCTTGTGATGAAAAGCTGAATGAGGTGGGACAGGCAGTGTGCACTTTTAAAAAATTTTTTGTTATGGTATGCACTGAAAGTTAATAAGCTAAACCTGATTTTTTCAGCTCTTTTGTTTTCTAGAAAAATACCTTTTTGTCTGTGTTCAGTTCTTCCTGTACCATTCGATGGGTTTGTAAATAGATGTAACTTCTTGCCCTAGGATATATACAATTCTAAAATAGTTCTTATAAATTTAATAATCTAAAATTTCATATATTCACGTAAATAAGCTTTGGAAATTAACAGAAATTGTGAGTTCATCTAGTTTTTTTATTTTTAGGGCCTTTCTGTGGAACAATAAGCAGCAAAAAGAAGAAAAAGATGATGTATCTCACTACAAGAAATGCAGGTATCTCTTAATATTACGTGAAAGTCAAAGTTGTTTAGTCTTCAAAACTTGCAGAGTGTAGTGTATCCAAAGTTAAAGATTTGCATTAAAATATTTGATTATAAGTTTCATCAGCTAGTTTTTATCATTTAAAAGCAACAGTGACCAGTGCAGACATGGCTGTGCTGAGTACATCATTTGGTGGGTGGAAATCAGAGAAAAACTGGGTATTAAGAAAAAAAAGTGAAATGTTTGTTGCCAGTGGGCTGAGGAGGATATGATTTTTCCCTTCTGTTCAGCATTGGTGAGGTCACACCTAAATGTACTGGGCACCTCTCCAGTGCAAGAGATGTGGACATACAAAGATGTTAAAAGGACTGAGCATCTCACCCATGAGGAAAAGTTGAGACAGCTGGGAATGTTCAGTCTGGAGAAGAGGAGCCTCAGGGCAGGTCTCATCAATGTGTACAAATTCCTGAAGGGAAGGTGTAAGGAGGATGGAGTTGTGTGGGCTCTTTGCAGAGTAGCCCAGTGACAGGGCAAGAGCCAACAAGCAGCACAGGCTCTGAACATCAGAAAACACTTTTTCCACTGTGAGGGTGACTGAGCACCGGCACAGGGTGTCCAGAGATGTTGTGGAGTCGTCCTTCTTGGAGATACTCAGCAATTGTCTGGATGTGGTCCTGGGCATTGGGGTGGACCAGATGCCTTCCATAGGTACCTTCCAACCTCAACCATCCCATGATTCCGTGGAAGTTCATTAATTGTTAGTCACAGTTTTCCCCTTCTGATCAAGCACAGACTTTCTCCTTGGAAGTAAAAATGAATCTGACTGTATGCTGTCAGTGGAGGAGTAACTATTTTATTCACAAACCAATTTAAAGCAAGAAGTCTTGTATCAGACTTACTGCCCTCTGAGTACTGTTTATATTCACATGGGGTCTGCTGATAAATAGCAGGACTATGTGATTTTTTTTTTTCTTACAGCCCTGAGTCTGTATTAAAGATTTTTGTACATTTCTCAATGTAGAATTTGATCGCCATGAAATCCAGATATATGAGGAAGTAGCCAAAATGCCTCCTTTTCAGAGGAAAACCCTGGTCTTGATTGGGGCCCAAGGAGTGGGGCGAAGGAGTTTGAAGAACAGGTTTATTGTGCTGAATCCTACTAGATTTGGAACTACAGTGCCATGTAAGTTGTCAGCATTCCTATTGTAATATCTACTTTGATTAACTGGAAAGTACCCGATGTTTATCCTAATGATTCAATGTAGGAGTGATTTTGTCAGAGCATAAAAATTGTATAGAGTGGGAAAACAAAAGGTTCTTCCTGTATTCAGACAACTGAACTAACATATGACCATATATTTGTAACTGGCACTTAAATGTTACTGATGATGCAGAAAACCAGTTTTGGTCTGTGCAATATTTCAGTTTGGGTTTCCTCATTGTCAGCACCATCCATTACTGAGGGAATTCCATTAGTTCCCAGTTGCCTTCTGTAATTATTAGCCAGTGGAGTTTCTCTACCTTTTAGTTTTCCACCTGTGAACTAGGCATTAAAAAATCTTCTTTTACCTGAAACATGTTTTCTTGCCTTTCTTTCAACTACTTTGCTCATTCACCTCTTTTTTTTCTTTTAACTGCTCTCTCCTGTTTGACTGCTGACCAGAGAAGCCCACTCCAGCTACATTATTATTCTCCTGCCATGTGCTTTTCAGAATTTCAAAAACAGTCTGTTCACTTCTGTTTCCAGTGGACAAGAAATAGATCTGATAATAATAGGAGGAGGGACAGGTCTGAAAGATGAACTGTGCAAGATGAGAGAACCAGTCTCTCTCATTTGCTGAATCTCTAGCACTGGCCAGGGCCAGTTAGAATTGGTTTGTGGACCTGATAACAAGGTTGAGTTCTCAGTGTTACTTTTTTAAAGAAATCTTCTCCTGAGAATTTCATTATTTTATATTGGCGGAAGAGTAAGAGGTTTTTTATTGCTTCTAAAATTCTTACTCTATTTCAAAAAAAAGCCTTCAGAATTACTTACTTCTCTAAAATGCTATATAGATACTTGAATATATGTAAGTAATGCAACACAGTTATTGAAATTCTTCAAAGGCATAAAAGTAAACTTTTCCAATCTGATAGTCTAATCATGCATATGCAATATCCTGTTTATTGTATATAGAACCTCTTCTCTACTTTAGATTTTAAGTGGGATACCCAGTAAACTTAGTTGGTCTTTGATTAGAAGAAAACTCTCTAGGTTATTCTTAAACAAATTTGCGTAGGATGTCTTTTGGGAGGTGGGAAATGCGTGAAATTGATCCATTGTGTTATGGGAAGAAGCATGTTCTTGGTCTGAGCTCTAATCCAGCACATGATGCTGTGGTTTTTCTTCAGTGTGGATAACTGAACTATTAAATCATCTCCTAGCTGTAAAATGTTAAAGGTTACTCTCCAAAATTAATTGCAAACTGATACATGATTCTTTTTAATATATTGTATTAACCACTATAGTTTTAATCTTTCCATAGAATCTTGACTAAAACTAGATGTTCTAGTAATATTTTTATTCTTAATAGCTTCAGATGATCACTTCTCCTGGCACTTTCATTTCCTATAAGATTAAAGTGGATAGGAATTATTGGAAGGGAAAGATTGCTTTCCACTTGTCTCAACAAGTTGCATCAAGTGATGATAGAAGTATTACCAAAGGAATGCATTGACTGTTATATTTAGTATGTTCTAGAGTTCAAATCTAATTAAATATAAGTAGCGGATAATTAATATAGTGAGAGGACAGCAAAGTCAATAATAATATGATGTTACATTTTATTTTACTTTTTAAAAAAATTATTTTTACTTTTTTTGCTTAGGTAATGTCTGTACTGCACAGTGTAGCCAATACCCAGGATAGCTGATAATGATTTACTCAAATACTGGCTTTAATCTTTCTACAGGGAATTTATCTTGCTTTAAAAGGGAAGTTGTCCTGGCAAGCAGCATTAGCTGGCCTCCACTGAGATTCTGCTACGGTGGTTGGGCTGCTTCTGATATTTAAGCTAACTTTCTTTATAGCTAGCTCAGGTAATTCTACCCTGAACAACAGGGCAAATAGGGAGAGCGAAGGTTTTGGGGGTGGGATGGGGCAGATCTTGTGCTCAGCTATTTTCAGAAGAACGTTTGGCATTTGAGAGTTAAACTTCCATTTTATTTCTAAGTCACTTAAATAAATATTTTATTAAGTGAATAATTTAAAAGATGACATGAATTACTATTGTGTATGGTCTGAAAGAGTAAGACAAAGGAAATAGGCAAATGGGTGGGTAAGCAACATATAGGAAGGAATATAAATAAAGGGAACAGGAGGGACTGTGTTCAGTTTTAAAATTTATGTAGAATGATGAATAAACCTGTACATGGAGCAATTACAATTGTATGACAATGTGTATTGTAGTCTCCCTAACTTAATAGGCAGTCCAGTCTCATTATTTATATTCCAAATATAAAACGAAAACATTCAATTTATATTTTGAATTTTTTGTTTAGTTACTTCACGAAAGCCAAGGGATGATGAAAAAGATGGGCAAGCGTACAGATTTGTGTCACGAGCCGAAATGGAGACGGATATTAAAGCTGGCAGATACTTAGAGCATGGAGAATATGAAGGAAATCTTTATGGCACCAAAATTGATTCCATCCTTGAAGTTGTTCAGACAGGAAGGACCTGCATCTTGGACGTAAATCCACAGGTATATGATTTATGTTATTATAACAAGTGTGGGATTATAATGTTGAAGGGATGAAGAGAGGTGCCTTCAAATATGAAGGCTTTTTATTTGGTTTCAAGGTTACAATTATCAACTGGATTCTTGTGTTTGTGGCACTTGCTTGGAATGGGTTAGAAAGATGGAAAAAACCAACTTAAATTCTGCATGAAAGAGGAATCTTGCAGAGTAGTAAAAAATCTTTTAAGCCAAAGAAAGAATGATGCTGAGCATTTCAAAAGGCAGTGTAGGAATTTCTAAAACAGAAATAAGAATCTTCATTTATGTGTTGCTTCCCATTGTAACAGATGAGTTTTGCAGTGTCCCTTAAGTAACAGGGAGATGTGATGAGTCATTCTCAAACTTTGTTGGTTTTTTTCGATTTTATTTTTCTTTGCTTCTAGGCCCTAAAAATACTGAGGACTTCAGAATTCATGCCCTATGTGGTGTTTATTGCTGCTCCAGAGTTGGAGACTTTGCGAGCTATGCACAAGGCTGTGGTAGATGCTGGAATTACAACCAAACTTCTCACTGTAAGCAGATAATTTCTTAATTAGTTTGCTTTGCACAAGATGTTCTTAGACTTTTTAAAAATTCTTTACCATTCATTTTAGATGGGATTTGTTCTGAAATGAATATCTCTAAGAAAAGTTTGGCAAGACTTTTGCTGATTACCTAGTAGAAGTTAATCAAATACTACGTATAAGGAAGATTGCTTGTTTCTTAAAAATAGACCTCTTACAGAGAAATGTTGATTACAAAAATGACTTATAACATGTACTTTGGGAACTGTCACATTTGATTATTTGCAGCAAATGGTAGGTATTTCATGGTGGCAATTGCTCTTTTATGCAGATGTCTTTCCTTGACTTTCCCATCTCCTTCCCCACCCAAATTTTTGTTCCTGTTTGTCTTAATAATACACGTGTGCTTTAAAAATGAAATCTGTAGTGCTTGGGAAAGATATTGCAGCTTATGTCAAAAAAGGAAAAAGCAAAAACCCCATTAGCCAACAAACCAACAAAAAACCCCAAAACAAAACACAAAAAAAGCCCCCAAGAATGCAGGTAGTCCTTGTTTTCATTGCTGCAGCAGCATGTGCTGCACTAAGAATGGCTGAGAGCTGCCAGAATAAGAAGTGTTGAACAGTTTCCCCTGAATTTCCTTGCATTTGTCATATAAATGTTTTGTTCCTTAGATCTCCTCCTCCTTTTCTGAGGCCCTGTGTGTAGCAGAGGGAAATAAGACAAATAAGACGTTTCCTCCAATGCAGCAAAGTATAAATATTCTGTGTGGGCATGAACTTTCCCAGCTGCAGGAGCAAAGGAAAAAAAAGCCAGATTGAGCAGTTCAGCTTTCCCAACGAAGAAGAGCCATGTTTTGCTGATGGCTCATAATGATAGCACTGCAGCTTCATAGGAATATCTTGAATAAATGCTGACAGGGCATTCAAAGCTATAAAATGGGGGGTGGGTTAGTATTTCCATTAAATAAGTATATGATTTTTAGTCATGGGTTCTGGTTATTATGCATTCTAATGTCTCTGTGGATGCTCAGTCATTTATCTTTCCTGCCTCAAATGAACCCTGAATTTTATGGTTTATATGGAAGAAGACAAGGTTAAAACTGTCCAGACAAGTATAAAAATAATTTTCTGCACTTCCTAATATTTGATTCCCTAAGGGACATCCTCGTCTCTGTATTACTTCTTATGAATAATAAAGAGCATCATTAAATTTCAAATATGCATTTATGTGTCTTTACGGATTCTGCATCGCATCCCTGCACATGTATATAGAGTATGATTTGCTATTTCATATTCTTGTGCTTCCTGAACAAATGAAAAACAAATGTCATTTAGAGTACTATGGTTTTCTTGTTAGTGGACTTGGCTGTAGTGTTTCTAGCATCCTAACCCATTCCATTACAAAAAGTCTGGCTCTTGTGGTCATACTTTTACTTGTCTCCTGTCATTCACTGTGAAGGAAAGGCTATTGACAAACTCAGTTTTTCATTTTGGCTTTTATATTGACAGCTGTACCAGGACTGGAAAATATTGAAATGAATACTGTAAAGGGGAACAAATCTCGTAACTGCTTACAAAAAAAATTGCCGTTGTGCAAAAATGGAGAGGAATTTTTAAAGAATGTAGGATTAGCAGAATGCAAAAAGTGCTCAGAGGCACTTTATAAAGGCTTCATAATGTAGGTATATAAATTTCCTGCATATATTGCAGCTCATGTCAGGACTACAGTAAATGCACCAGTAGTTTATAAATGAGGGACTGGTGTCAGGTGAGCTAGGCTGAAATGTTGTGTCTAAGAGCCATAAGGTATTCCAGAGCTTTATTCTGCTAGAAATTGTCTTTCATTTTATTCTAATTCAAAATCTTGGATTTTTGGTGCCTTCTGTGGAAATAAAAGAGGCACAAATATATTTACAAAACTGATTGACTCAGTCATTCCTAAAGCATTAATTTTATTCTGATTGGATCATCAGTTGCCCAAAGTGATTAGCTGCTCATTGTGCACACCAGCCCAAGTTCATGTGCTTCTATTGAGTCTCCAAAACTGCAAGACTGACAAACATTTGCTTGCCATATTTAACATTATTGACAGAGCTCAGAACTTTTTCAACCCTTTTAATGCATTTTAGCTAAATTTCTGTGTGAATTTACTATAAATGAAAGCTTTCCTTATTTATAAAATATATTTTATATCTAGCTTTAAATAGTCAGTTGCAATATGTACCTAAGGGATCTTCTTCTGCATCTATAAAGATTTGCCAAGTCTGATCTTTAAATCTTTAGTAAGATTTAGATCCACTAATCCTTAGAAATCTCTTCCACAGGACACTGATCTGAAAAAAACAGTGGACGAGAGTGCCCGGATCCAGCGAGCCTACAACCACTACTTTGATCTGACCATTGTAAATGACAACCTGGACAAAGCCTTTGAGAAGCTGCAGACAGCCATCGAGAGACTGAGGCTGGAGCCACAGTGGGTCCCCATCAGCTGGGTCTACTGAGCTGTTCCAATGGGAGCTTAAGTAACAAATAAAGTCAACAGCAGCAAATGTGACGTGTAGATACTGATGATAACCTACAGCACCTGTGCATTTTTACTCTGTGTATATTCAAAAGTACACTGTTCTGAATTTTTATAAAAATGTTGAAGAGAAAGTGTACTTAAATATGTAATTTATTTTAATTTTTCTAACTTTTTACAGATAACCTTTCTATTCATATCACATGAAGGAAATGCGTTTAAGCATTTTTCTATGTTTTGATTTAGTACCTTTGCCTTTTTCATCTAAGAAACTTTCATTCACTTCAACATTTACATCTTGGTCTTACATTTTCACTGTGATTAAAAAAGGATACTTGAAACAATTTTTGTAAAATTTGTTAATGTCAGTGTTTAACTGATTAAAAGTCTATAGCTCTTATTAGGAAAGAACACTAATTTCTTTGGTTTTTTTTTCTTCTTTAAAAAAATAATACTTCCATGGGAGCAGAATTTTAAGTATTTAAAGCAGTAACAAAAACACAGGTCCAATTGCTCCAGCTGCTTTCAGCTTAATGTTGGTGCATTCCTGATGTTTCACAAGTTCTTGATATATCTCGATTTAGATAAGTTTTGTGTAGGTTCCCTTATATCTGTCTCCTGAAATAACATAGAGCAATCAATACCTTGCAAGCTGCTTATTAGGCTTTCTTGGGAGCCAACCTGTTAGCCCATTACAGTTGAAGTACTGACATTAGAAAGTCACACGCAAGGTAATTCAGTGCAATTGGAATAATGGTGAAGTAGCTTGAGAGAGAACCTGATAATGTGGAGCTTGTAGGTGACACTTAATGTTTAGGACTATTCATGCTTGTGAAAACACATTGCTTAAAAAAAAAAAAAAAAGGCATTTTCTTTTCTTAGGACATTGTTCTGTATTTATATAGTGATCTGTGGCTTCATCTCCTGTGATGTCTAGCTGGGTTCTAAATTACCTTTTACATATTTGTGTGTGATCAACTGCTGTATTTTATGAGTGTTGTGTAATGGCATTTCTGTGCTTTTTCTTACATTGTTTTTAATTGCATTTTTCATTAGATAGCTTGTGAATCGGAAGCTTACTGCTAAAAAGCAATGTTGTTTAAAAGTTTTTCGTTTACAGTGTATTTCCTTTTTAGTGACAATTATCCCCTCAGTAGGCTGATTGATATAATTCGTATTAGGTTCAGGTTCATTGATCAAAACTTCAGCTGATGTAAATTTCTGCTTAATGAGAACAGGAGGAAAATACAGTTTGTTGCTCAGATGAGCTCTTTTTGTGACTATGTTTTATATGACATTGTCAGCTGTTGTATATAGTCACATTCACCATCACATACCGGGCTAGGTGTCTAAATTGAAGTCATGTGTTTAATTCCTCTTCCATCTGGCGACAGGCACCTGGCTTCTGGATGCTTTTTCAACACCAAACTGTGACCCGGAATGCTATCAAAAGGCTTCTTCCTCAGAACTATTTCTGGAGGAAGACATGCTTAGACACTGTAAAACAGCATTGCTTCCTGGGGCTCTCAAAAGACTTTCATGTGCACAAGGAAGAGAAAAAATGGAGTGGATGCAGTAAAGGAAAACTGTTTAAAAAAACCTCAAAACACCCATATACAACAGATGGTTTTTACACAGCCTGTAAAGTTGGTGGTTGTGAGGGAAGAGGGGCAGAGGAGACCTGAAATCCCAGTGTGTGTGTAAAATATTAATTAAACTTGCATATAGCACAAGAGATCTTTGTGGCTCTTAATACTGAGATTTCAGTATTTCAGAGGGAATATTAAATTCTCTAAGGAAAATTTGTACCACTGCTTTTTTTTATTGTTATGCTTTCCAGGATGTGTTTTCTCTGGTTTTGTTTAAGTTTGGCAGAGCTCTTAAAATTGACACCAGCACGGGACTTGTAGTTTTCTTTCCCAGGAGACACGTTCTGTGATCCTATTGCTCAGAGGCTGCTTTGAGAAGTGGATGAAGTGTTGTGTGTAGCAGCAAATGATAGCAGGGCTGTTGCTTGGCTATTTCAGTGGCTTGCTTTTGGCACTCTGTGCTGAACATGACTGAACTGTGTTTGTGTACTGTGTCATGGGAGACCTCCATATGCTGTAAATAAGATGTGCTGTTTGGACGGATAAGATGCCTTTTCATTATCAGTTAGAAATATACTCTTATTTGTGATGCCAAAAGTGGGCTGAGTTCACTCTTCCCCAATGAATGGAACGAGAAGATTCTTCTGTTTATCACCACAGTACTTCATATTGCAAACATCACTTATTTTCATCTTTTTTTCCATAATTTTCCTGAACCAAGCACATGAAACACAGCCACCAAGGCTTAGTCTGGAGAGCCACTCTCTGCTCATTCTGTTTCCATCCCAGGGAGAATACTGTCAAGAGAATTTCCCTAGTTAGAAATCTCCAGATTAGCCATCTCCAGAATAGAATAGAATATTTGCTAAAGCCTAAAGCTTTAATATTTGCTACAGGCTGACACCGTGTGCTTAAATCAGGCAGTGGAGCATCATGGCTGAGCTTTGGGTGGTGATGGTGTTGTAGATGACAGTGAGCAATTCTGCAGTGCAGTTCTGAAGCAGTAAGAGAAGGTGACTCGCTTGGGTTGGCACAAAGATCGTGTGGAAGTATCTGCAGGTCTGATTTGGATGTCTGTGTGCCAGGTTGGGACACCTCTTGCATCTGTTTGTTAAATCTTGAGGGTTCACATTGGAGTGTTTAGTGCTTAGTTTGTCCCCACCTGGTAGAATGACTGCAATGAGAATTAACAGTTACTATCTTTTTAAAAATAATGTTCTTGGAGGTTCTTGAAATGCTAGTGTTTCAGTGACATCCACAGCAGTGACAGTCCCTACCTGCCAGGATGTGCTGTGTCAGCTGTTGGACAGGGGCCAACATTGTGCAATTAGGGGAGAAAGACACTATGAAAGGCTCATTTTGAGCAAGTGAAAACATTTCACAGAACACCTGTTCAGAGTATTTTGGAGAAGTTAAAATAACTGGGATTTCATGTTATCTCATTCTGTACTAAACATTTTCCAGATACTAACAGGAAAACTTTACATAGACTGTTAAAGATTACAATAGGTGTGTCTGAGCGAGGTGAAGATGCTGCTAAATGTTTAAGATATGTGGTATGTATCACAAGATAAATATTTAAGTAGTTTAGAAAGTAAATTATCAAATAGTTGTCTGTGTATATGTATGTATGTGGATGGTAAAACAAAAAATGCTCATGTTGGTTATCACATTACTAAGGTACCACGACTTAATCCAGAAATGTACCTGCATGTGAGACTTTAGAACTGGTACACTTCTCTACCTGGTTTATTGTGTTTACTAATGTATATTTTTTTAAATATACAGATATTTCAATCTAAAAAAAATCTATATTTATCTGTAATTTCTATCTGTTTTGGACAGTGCATGAGGTGCTGTAAAATTCTGTACATATAGAGACTTATAGAAGAAACACTGTAGTTGCCCTGTGAATGAAAAGTTATACATAGAAGTATGGTCAGTATGCCGAGACCTGTAAGTTATTTCCCTGAATTCACCAAAAAAAATTCACTTAAGCGTGCACCAATCTCAGCTCTCCTGTAAATACTGTGGTGCATTGTGTACCCAGGTGATGACCTTGCTGTCCATAAGTGTTATAGCAAGTCTGCTCTTGATGCCTTAAGGCATCATTTTAGGTTCTGCATCATGTGACAAGATGCAGTCCAAGTTTGGTGGGATAATTATAATGGAATACGTCATCTTGCAGAGATTTATAAAGGTCTGTCTTGCAAAATGTTCTGCAAATCTACAACAAAGGTAAACATGGAGCAGAATCACAGATCTTTGTAGGCAAGGAAAATCGAGTTCATAACCAACGCAGTATCTGTGACTTGTGCTGTGTTCTCAGCTCAGGGCAGCTCTGTGTACTTAGTTGTACGAAAGCTTTGTGGAGCAGGATGGCAGATCAGCTCATTGCTTTTGAATTAGTGTTTATATAAAGTGTCACATCTTGGCTGAGCTCAAATTGTGACTTTTTTTTTCTCACCCTCTCTACTTACTGCATCGTCTAAAATCATACCTAAGTGACTTGCTTATAAATTGCCTGCAGCTCAGTGCTCAGGAAGTCACCAGGGTTTCGTTTTGTTTTTTGAAGAGGGTGATTTAGCTAAGAAATAGGAACTTCTTTCTCTTTGAAACACAGCAAATCCCTGGCTAGGTACTCCCTTGAGGCCAGTTGTCCTCTGCTGTCTTCAAGGACCAGTGGAGAGCGATCAAGCAGAGCACACTCCAGAGATCAGGAACTGGGTTCTTACCTGTCCTTATGCATGAGCCAATATTGTGACTAAACTCCCTTCATCTATCCCGTGGTTTCCCATCCAGGCTTCCTGTAGCTTGCTTTTCCGCTCACACTGAACCTTGAGGCCGTGTCCCAGTGCATGGACAGTGCCTCCTGCAGCTGCTGCCCCTTGCCCATTGTGCCTGTGGGTGCAGCTCTCACACAACCAACAGCTGGAGCTCTGTCTGTTGTACAGGCTGTTTGCTTCGTGTGGGGTTTCCTGCCTCACCCAAATTCCAAAGAGTTCAAGTACCACATGGTTATTGCCAAACTTCATGATGCTTCTTTTGCAGAAGTGGTGAGATCATTTTATTGGTGTCTGTGTGGTGGGTATTGGATCAAAGACTCACAGTCTGCTGGGCCTCTTGCCTTAAATACCCCTCAGCTCCCAGCACCCTTCTCTCCCTGCAATAAAAACCCCTCCTGGGCCACTGAAAATGTTTCTATCCTTAAGGGTACTTTACTATCCTTGGTGGACTGTTGTGACTGACAGTGCTGAAGTGAAGTCTTGGCCCTTCTCTTTTTTCCCCGGGTTTCTTTTTTGGTCTATACTTCTTAGTTTTCACATATGTTTAATGAGCTTGCTGATGGGAATTGTCTGGGATTCTCAACTTGTGTCTATATTATAGAGGAAATAGTAATTAACAAGAACATCAGTATTTAGGACTAGTGTAACTTACTGGTTTTAGGCCCAAGACAGATCCTAAAAATAAAAATAGAAAACGCTTGTAAAATCACCAGTTTTGGTTATTTTTACAGGCAGCTTTGGCTTCTAATCATATTAAAAGTGAGCTTGTGCCCACACACACAAGCACCCATAATATAGATAAAACTTGGGGGTAAATGCTGCAAGTAATTCAGGCAATGTCTACAAATTTACCTGAATTCTCCACAGTGGTATACTATTCCACAACTGCTGCATTCTCAGTTCATCTGCTGGTACTGCAGCTGGGATTTACTGGTACAGGCTTTAAAAGCAAACCCCAGTTTTGTGAAGGCCTGTTAGGCAGTTTCACCTACAAACAGAATTACTCAACAGGAGTTCAGCAATATTTATATTTTATAGAATAAATTACACTTGAAGTAAATTATTTTTTTCTCAGTATTTGGAACTTTC